AGGGCTCTGGCTTGCAGGCAGCAGCAGGCAGCCTGTAGCAGGAACTCCGAAACAGCAGGATACCTGCCTGGTACAGGCCTCCATCATATTTGATGCGTACTGAATACTTAATGCGGAACACATACACCTTTAGAATTTGACCCCATGAAATAATTCTCGGAAAAGGAGTAATTTCTAGCTAGCTTGTACTGTTGCAGTGTGGCCAACTTTACAAAACAATGCTTCTATCTTGAGCAGAATGAATTGCGTCATATTGTGACTGCCCTGGATCAAGTAGATCAAAAGCACTGTAGGGGAGTCTTGGGGAATTTTAATTTTTTTTTTTACACCCCAGGCCATCCTAATGTGCTTTTGGACGGAAAACCATGAAGTCTAGAAAGCTGGTACGCTCCAGATTCAGAAGGAACCCTGGCGGCACGGTGACGCACCCAGCGGCTCAGCACAAGGTCAGCAGTTCGAACCGATAAGCTGCTGTAAGAAAGAAAGACGAGGCTTTCTATTCCCAGAGAGAGTTCATCTTAGAACACACAAGAACGGTCTACACTGCAGGGCCGCTATGAGTTGAAATCTACTGGATGGCCTTGGGTTGAGAAAGCAGAGACTCTTTCTGTGGAGTAGTTCATTCCCTAATTTATTGAGTCTGAATTCAGGGTTTTGGACAATCTGTTGGCACTGATACAACAGCCTTAATTAAGAAGAACTCTGGGTCCCAAGCTCTTTTGAAAGCAGTCTCCGTTGCTAGGAAATCACAAAAGCATCTTTACGTGCCTCGAGTCACTCTGCTGATTGGCGGAAAGATGAGAGCAGCCTAGAAGAAGCGTGTTCCTCGCTGGTCTGTCCGGGGAGGAAGTGTGTGGGAATAGTGTGTCCCATTGGATCTCCTCACCTCATTTCATGAAGGGGGAGAATTGTCATCTCAACCCCAGCTGATTCTTCTAAGGGGGAGGTCAGACACTTGTCACCAGTTCTCCTACCCACCTCCCCTCCCTCGAATGCTCTGCTCCTTGGCGGGCTTCAATAATCTGCCACCCTGGCCAGACCGATCAGATACTACTACTCATGATAATGGGGTGACCGGATCAGGATCCGGGATCCTGTTTGAGAAGGCTCCCCCCCTTTTAAGCGAAGGGCGACACTCAGCTCTTCGGGACCCCTGAGGACAGGTTCCTCTCACTCCCCGAGGATGAGCTCTTCCTGACCTCTGAAGGCAGGCTCTCCTTTCTTGGTCCTTGATCCTTGGCCCCACTTAGGTCTGGCTTCTGCCCTGTGTGAGCAAGTATTACAAAACTCTCCAGAGGCACCCACTCTTCCAGGAAGCCTATTGCCCCAAGGCTCTCGGCTCTCACTCTGGGTGCTGGGAACCTATCAGGCTGACTCCCGGTTCTCTGCAGCTGTTTCTCAGCATCTCAAACCCTGTCTGCTGTTACAACCTCCACACTGTTTCTCCTGGCACTGTGAAGTTCTCAGTGCTGGGTTCCTGGGTCCAAAGGATGTGCTCCACTCCTAGGTCTTATTTGTGGATGGTAGTTAGGTCCTCGCTTCCCACCTCTGGGATTGCAAAACTGAACAAGCTGTTAGGGTTTCATACACCTCATTTACATTATTAGCAATGTGTCCAGTCCCCTTAGTGGGTCACAACCACCCTATTTGCATAGTTCCACCCAATCACTTTGTGGGAGTGGCAAGACCATACATAGCCAGAAGGGCCATGTTAAGTAATCCACTGCGCTGCAAGGTGGTGGTGCAGTCCCCAAACCACTGCTGGGATTGAAGGAGAGAGGTGTCACAAAGTGATTAACATAGTGCCCAGGGCTTTATGGATTGGGCTACTAACCAGAAGGTCAGCAGTTCGAGACCAACAGCCCCTCTACAGGAGAAAGATAAAACTTTCTACTCCCATATGTTTTGACAGTCTTGGAAACCCACAGGATCAGTTCAATTCTGTTCTATACGGTTGCTGTGAGTCAGCATGGACACCAGGGAATCGAGCAACACATGGTTAAGCCCTTGACTCAAGACAAAAGGTTGGCAGGAGAATCCACCCAGAGACCACGTGCTTTTGAGAGATCACAGCCTGAAAAGCCTGCGGAGCAGCTCCGGTCTGCACACACGAGGCCATCAGGAGTCCAGCTGACTAGCTGGCAGCTAACAACAACAGTGGCCTCTCTCAATCTTAAGAATGACGCTGCCAAGGACCACTGTGGTCATCCTGTAGAGAGAAAATCTAGGCTGAGAGAGGAGAGTTGACTTGCCTGAGGCTCCCAGCCAGATATGTGGAGGAGGCAGGACATGCACCCAGAACTCTGCCTTCACAGCCCCTCGCCCAGCGTTTGCTCAGCAGACCAGCTCACACGTTCAGGAGCATGGCTGCCACAGGGTCTGGTGTTCACAGCAGATTAAATAGCTTCGTTGATCTTACCTAACAGACGTGACTGGATTTAGCAAGGTTTGGGCTAGGTGGTTAAGCCCTCAGCTACTAACAGAAAGGGCTGACAATTCAAACCCACCAGCTGCTTTGAGGCAGAGGTGATGGTCAACTCTTATACAGGTTACAGGCTCGGAAACGCTGTGTGGGAGCAGATCTATCCTGTCTTACAGGGCTCGTGTGAGTAGGAATTAACTCCCCAGCAATGAGTTTGGGTTGTTTTTTAAAGCAAGGCACACGTCCTAGTCGCATCTTTCTGTAATCATCTTGAATGAAGTGGTCAAGTGCCAGAGGAGGCATCAGACCTGCAAGTCATTCTGTGATGTTGGGCATGATGTCAATTATTAGTTTGACTTACATGCACACGTTATCCTTTGAGAGATGGGTGGAAAAATCTAGCCCGTTTCTTGTTTTTTAAGGGGAGTTTTGTTGGGGCACAGCCAGGCTCATTTGTTTCTCTTGTTGACATACTTGCTATATATTGTCTATGGCTGTCTCTCTGCTACAGTCACAACCAGCTGCACCTACATCTAGCTGAGCAGTCAGGAGCCTTTGAACCCTAAACTATTTACTTTGGACCCCAGAGCATGAAACATTTGCTGGACTAATAGTGTTGGTAAGCACGCCTTTTGATTTATATAACACTGGCTTGAACTTCATCGGCAATACAAGCAGACCCCAGAGAGCAGCCCTTCCCCTTACTGGTTTGCACGTGGACGCCAATGCCTTCTGCACGGTGGGAAGGGTGATTTGAACCAGAGCTTCTTGAAATATCTTCTTCCGGATGGTGCTGCTGTCGTAATCGTATTGCTGTCAACACAGAGATGGAAACATATGCTAAATCACAACATTGCAATCTGTTTTCATTTGCCTAAACAAACAAACAACAACAAGAAAAAACCCTCAGCCACCCACTTTCTCTCTTCCCCACACCCCCATCCCTGTCCCCAATGTCTGAGAAGCTCAAGTAGAACTGTCGGGTGGCAGGACTGCCAAGGGCCAGGTCACAGGTTCAAACCTACCAGCTGCTCTTTAGGAAGGATGATGAGGCTGTATGACCCCATAAAGAATTACTGGCTCAGAAACTGCAGTGGTTTTTAACCTTCCTAATATTGCGACCCTTTCTTACAGTTGCTCCAACCATAAAATTATTTTCGTTGCTACTTCATCACTGTGATTTTGCTACTGTGAAGAATCAGGACGCCCAACAGGGTTGCGACCCACAGGTTGAAAACTGCTGCTATACAGGGTTGCTGTGAGTCAGAATCGACTCCGTGGCAGTGCGTTTGCGTGGATTTGTCACTTCTGAGGACTTTGGCGGTGTTTTATTTCCCAAGGTCTCAAGGATCTTTCCGTGCAGGTGGAGGTGATGACGGAGAGCGGCCTATCTCACCTGCTCGGGAACTGAGGCAAGATCAAAGCAGGGCACCTTCTGCGTTACGAAGAAAGCGGAGCTTGAGTCTGTAACTTCAGCACCTCTGTCCCGGTACGTGCGTGGGAGCCATGGCCCTCCCCTTATTGCCCTCTCAGTCCCTAAAGCTGGGCCAGGGCAGTATTGATTTCCTCAAAGGGGAAGAGAGCCTATCCCCCTAAGACTGGGACATGCTCCCCACACAAGGTCAACACCCAAGAACAGAGAGGTGGTACTGACTCTGTTGGGAGCTGAACACCCAAACCTAGAGGCCCCTGTGTGATCTGTCTGTTTAAGGGGATCACACACGAGCGGGAGCACCGTCTCCTGGGTGAGCAGAATGGCTGGAGCCAGTGAGGAAGGGGTGAAGGCGTGAAAGCATTTACAACGGGAAGACACCTTGGGGTGAGATTTTAGTTTCATTCCAACAGCCAAAGGCTGTCGAGGAAAAGAAGGATGAGAACAGAAAGGGTCAACTGCCCAGTGATAAGAACCGAGGGCTAGCATTAGGAAGCAGGTGCTTTCAGTGAACTTGTCTGAGCTCAGACTGGACCCCCGCTGGCAGGACACTGCTTCAGACTGGACATAAAGCTGGACCAGAGACATGCTAAGCCCTTTGCGAGCCCCAAGTCTTCATATTGGAACCCCTCTCCCTTGCTTTTCCCTTCCCTTTCTATGCCGAAAGGATCATAAGCCATTAAACCGTGTCTCCCTTCATGCTCCCACCAAGAATGAACTTGACACTACTGTTTCTTTCAAAAGGCACCCTGGCCATTGGGTTGCCAGGATGAATACTGCTTCAAACCCCAGGGATTTGGTGGCCGGGGTTTCCTCTAGTTCCTGAGACATGAAGATCAAGGCTGCGTTCCAGCAGCCACCCGTAGGCTCTGTGAGCTGGGCGCCTGCCCCAAAGCACTGCTCCGAGGAAGGGTGGTGGTGTTGAGGGCTGAGTGACAGCCCCAAACACTGCCTGGTCCGGCAGCAGACACCGTCTTAGCCAGTGCTAGTTCTTCGCTCACCGCTGACTAGCCAGTCGCCTTTAAATGAGTCACTTTTGCTCTGAGAGAGTCCATTTCCTCATACAGGGAATGAAGAAGCGTTCTCCACAGTTCTAGTGAGGAGCCCGGGAAAGAGAACAGGTTATTTCATAGACCACCAATGCGCTAGCACCTCCTATTTTGTAGAGGGACAGTGAAAAGGAGCCCAGGCCTCAATGAGATGGAATGACAAAGTACGTCCAAGATCTTGAAGGAGGTGCACGCAGTTCATCCTCTTCCACTTGAGTCCCACTGAGTCAGCGCAGAACCAACGGCAACTAACAACAGTCTTAGTGCTTACCTGCTACAATTGTAACCATTTTGGATACTTGATACCTGTAGTCCCAAGTAAAGCCACTAGATGGCAGAACAAGCATGAAAGTCATGCTGGAACTTTCTTTTGAGAAGAAAGGAAGAGTTGTACATTGATCTTACAACCCACCCCCAGCCCCCACAGAAACGTGGGTGAAGGGAAACAGCAGACGGTGTAAAATATGAAAATAAAAGTAATGTATAAGTTATCAAGGGTTCACGAGGGTGGGAGTGTGGGGGAGGGAGGGGAAAAAAGAGGAGCTCATACCAAGGGCTCAAGCAGAAAGAAAATGTTTTGAAGAGGATAATGGCAACATATGTACAAATGTTTTCGACACAGTGGATGAATGGATTGTTATAAGAGCTGTAAGAGCCCCCAATAAAAGGATTTATTAAAATTTAAAAATAAATATTAACAATTTAAAATTAATTAAAAGAAAGGAAGGGGAGAAAGATTGGGAAGAAAAGGGAGAATGAAAAGGAGAACATGATATCTTTTACTTATTGAAAGAACCAGGGGACCCAATTCCTCGTGTGTGATTCCCAGCAATGAGAGAAATGGTTTTACCTTTAAGACTCGAAGCTTAACCTTCTCCATGGAGACTGCGGTTCCGGAGACTTCTCCGTGCAGATGTGGGGAAAGCAACTGCTCGAAGGTGAACACGGTGTTTTCCATCAGCTAGAGGCCAAAGGCAACACAGAGCAGACACCGTCAAACACTGGGCGCACTGCCCCGATCTACAACTGCTTGCGAGGGCACGTAGGGCAAGTCGCCAGACACCCCCCAAACACACACACACACACACACACACACACACACACACACACACACCGCCCCCTCCTGGCACTACCCCCAGGGTGAGACCTAGGACTGCAGGTCCTCATCCCACCCCTGGCCACGCGGGAGAGAGGGGTCTGTGCGCGGGTGCAGGCCTGCGTGTGCTTTTGTCTATTTTCAGTCCTTTCTTCCCCTCTTCTCTTCTCCCCCAGCCCTGAACTGGAGAATCCAACAAGGTCGCGGGATTGAGATGCTCACTCCACCGCGGTCTCCTCTAGTCTTACAGGCAGCCGGGTCTTAAGACCCCGAGGGGGGAGCCTACTCTCTCTACTTTTTGGCAGTTTCAGTTCTGCATCTCCAAGTTTATATGGGTGCAAACCACTCTGTAACACCTCTCTCTCTCTCTCTCTCTCCCCCCACGTTGTAGCCTCCCACCTCCCACTCGCTCTCTTTCTCTGCAAGTCTAATATGCTTTGGTGTAAGGAACCAGAAGTAGTTCTGAATTCTTATTCTTTGCAGGTGCCCCTGTTGCAATTTCAGAGGGTCCACCATGACCCAAGGGTCTTTGTTAAGCTGTTGCCCGATTTTGTTCCTGGTCCTCCCTTCATCCCACTCAGTAGTTAGATCACGATCAAATACACCTTTTCCTCTTGTCCAGCTCGACTAAAGGCAAACCAAACCAAACTCTGCTTTCTTTCCCAAGGAAGGTCCTGAGCCCACAAGATCCCGCACACACCTTCATCACAGCGTTTCCAGCACCTTCCAGGATTTATCTGAGAACCTGTTTCCCAGCAACCTCCCTGGAGGGGGATCCCTGAAGGGCCTGCCCACAGGAAGCCTCCCAGATGGCTGATTCAACTGCGAGTCCTCAGAGCCCCCAGGATCTCATCCTCTTATTGCTTGGAAAGGACGATGACCCGAGAACGCGTCTGAGCTACTCATTCCTGTTTCCTAGTGGAAAAGTGTCTTGTGAGGAAAAACGGGAGCCTACTAAATAAATTAAAATATGATGGTTATGGAGCTGTTGTTTATTTTTATTCTTAACTGGGTTAGGAAAGTAAGACACTGGTCCTCAACCTGAGCTGCGCACTAAAGAAATGACCAGAAAAAGAGACTTGGAAGTCACATCAAGGCAGACATCCCCTTTGGAGAGATGGTGGGTGCAGTCCTGAACCACGACAATACACTGGATATCAAAATAAAGCAAGCCACGGGGGTTTTGTTTCTTTGTTTGTTCCCCAGCGCCTATCAAGGTTCTGCTTACACAACACTGTAGTGGTGGTCCAGTAAGCTACACACTGCGCTGCTGACCACAGGATCGGTGGCTCAAACCCACCAGCCACTCTGTGGGACAAAGATGAGGCTGTCTGCTCCCATAAAGACTGAACATCTTGAAAGCCTACAGGGGCAGTACTACTCCATCCTGAGCCTCGCTGTGAGTGAGGACTCACTCAATGCTGTGATTCTGCTTGGCAACCCTGATGTGCAACCAAGGTTAAAACACTGATCAGACAAACCTGGTGATGCTACTCTCTCTGCAAGCTACATTCTCAATGCTGCTTAGCAGGAAGCCCTGGTGGTGCAGCAGGCTGCGGACTCAGATACCAACTGAGGGGTCGGTGGTTTGAACCCACCAGCAGCTCCCAGGAGAAAGATGTAGCAGTGGGCTTCTGTAAACATTGATAGTCTCCGAAGCCCTACGGGGCAATTCTCCTCTGTCCTTAGGTCCCTAAGAGTGTGAACCAACTCAACCGCACTGGGTTTGCACATGATGTCCATCAACTTATAAGACAGATGAGACCATCTCTAAGGACAAAACACATCTCTGTCAGCACCAGGACTGCAGGCATGCACTGCTGTCTCTGAGCGGCACCAGCACAGGCCTCATTCCCAGACCCTAATCCTTAGCCCTTGCTCCATCCTCATCCACTTGCCCCTGGCTCCCACCTCCTGCATGTAGTTCTGGGTCCTCTGGACCACCAGATCCACGTGGGGGAATCCGAAGCGGCCCTGCAGGTCCTGCAGGCGCTCCTGCAGCAGGGTGACTTGAACATAGCAGGGCTGCATCTTCGTGGAATCCAGTGAAAGACGCAGAAGCTGGTCCAGATGCTGCATTTTGTTGAAGAGAAAAAATGAAACACCTTCAGATTTAGGACCGATTATACACAAAATTCGAAACAAAGGGACACTATTTAGCAAACTGCTAACTGGTCCAGGACAGCTGGGATCAATTTGCTTATCTGGCTTCCCTCATTTTGTGGGCCCCTGGGCAGCTGGTTTGCCAGGACAGAAACTGATTGGCAGCAAAAACCACTGGGCAATGGGAAGAGTCAGGGGGGGCCCCATGTGTACAGTTCAAGGATGGGGCAGGCAGGCTCTTTGGTACACGAAAATGCTGCTGGGTCTGGGAGCCTTGAAGCCCTTCTTTAATGAGAGACATCTCTCTTAAAACAAACGCACACCCCCCTTGGCAGTCAGGTGCTCTCTGGACTCACCCCCACACCCACAATGCTGAGGCCCTTCGATGCCACCAGGGGTTCCTGCCACTGTAGGTTGCTCCATGGGCTAGTGTGGGGAGGGGCGCAACTGGACTGGGGAGAGGGCTCCCTTCTGCTGCAGTCTACATAAATGTAGGCTTCCTTCATGAGGCCGTAGGGCTTCAGCCAAAGGGCAGGATCAGACCTCACCCCCTCAAGCCCTCAAACGCAACCCACCCACTGTGAACAGCGGAAAGACCGCTGTGAATGAAACACGGGCTATTTTCCATGCGTCTCTCAAATCAACTTCAAAAATTAGATATTTGAGATTTAGAATCAGCAGAAGAGGCAGTGGAGGGGAAGCAGTGGGAAGGGAAGCAGGTGCCGGGAAGGGAAGCTGTCTGGAGGAGGTCCGTCCTCTGAGAACAGGGGTGGGGTGTGGAGTGGGAGGGAGCAATGGCAGCAGATCCCAGACAAAAGACAAAGCTTCATTGCTCAACACACACACACACACACACACACACACACACACACACACACACACGAATCAGAAGAGAGCCCAATTCCATTGTGCTCCCATGGGAATTACCCTGGGTGCTACCAATGGTTCGTGGGCTTGGCTGCTATTGGAAGGGTCAAGCTGAGTTTCGGTCCACCAGAGCTCCTTTGGGAGAAAGACTTCTCAATCTGCTGTCCCCAAACCAGCCAGGGAACCAGCCCTGTGGAGCACAGGTCTGAGGGCAGAGCCACGGGTCTGCTGACTCAATGGCACTCAGGCTGCTCAGTGAAGAAGGGCTGGATGGAGGGTCCCACGGGCATGGACTCATGATCCAGAGCCCTGGCACTCGGTGGTTAACAATGGAAGGAGATAGGTAAGGGGGAAACACGGGTCGGGTCACTGCTTTGTTCCCATCCGGCTGGTGAGAGTCTAAGTGAGTGACGTCACCCTGCTGCTGAAGGGTAAGTGGGGAGCAAGCCAAGCCCTGGGGGTGGAAATGTAAAATTGAAATCTGCTTTGAGGATGCAAATGGAACACTTGTTAACATTAGACACATAGCTACGTTTCAATTTACCGACCCCAGCCAGGAGTCTCTAAAAGCATCCGCGTGTAAGGAGATTTATTGCAGCGTTCCGGTGCCAGCCAGAGGGGAATGACTGCCTGAATCAAGGCGGATCCACACATGAAATATTAGGCCCCAGTACAAAGACGGGGTTAGAGCTAGACCGGTTAGCAGAGAGACAGTTCCATGATGGGGTTTTGAACGAGAAAAGTCGTAAGCAAAGTAGCATACCAGGGAGTTTCAGAGAGCTCGTGAAAAAATGGAATCCACAGAGAATGGAAAATGTCCACGAGCTTATTGTCGCCCCATTGTACATAGTATGCTTCCATTCTTAACAAAGCCATCTAAGAAGTAATCTGTAGATGCGTGTGTGGTGTGCGTGTGTGTGTTAAGCATGGAGAAAAGTACCGGATGATGCCTGCTAGGTGGCTAACACGCGTTGCTGGAGAGGAGGGGTGGAGCGTGGTGGGGCAGGAGAAGGAGGCGTCCAAGCAAGCAGGCAAAGGCGGCAGGGAGAAGGGCTCCTGTCTGTCGGCACTCGTGTGGTTGTCTGCATACAGAGGGGAGAAAGGACACGAAGCCGAGGTGTCCAGTGCTAACTACTGACTCGCGGGGTGACCGTGCGAGCTCTTCAGTGTAACAGCACGTCGCCCTTTCTATCTGTGCCAGGGGTTCTCACACCCTACAGTGCATCGTATGAAAACACGCACGCATTCCTGCTGCCGCCGCCACCTCCAGTGTCAGCCTCAGTCAGTCTAGGTAGGGGCCTGACATTTTCCATTTTTAAACATCAAGCAGGCGGATGTTGGCCTGTCATGAAATGATACTTTTGAAAACCAACCAACTAACAAACTTTTTCAAAGTGCGGACATGTGCTTTGGATCTGGGTCGACAAGGAGAAAACCATGCATCTGGAGAGACCAGGAGAGAGCACAGGAAGGCATCTACCAAACTGTTCACATGAGCTAATTCCGAGACTTGGAAGTGGAAGTGATTTAGGAGTGGGGGCTGGACTAGGATGTGTGGGTGTGGGTGGTGGTGCTTAGCTTTGCTGCATATAGATTCGATTACATTGCTGTATTTCTTCAAGGATGTGATTTTTCAGAACTTGAAAATCATCCATGAAGAGCATCAGGCAGCGGGATGAAAAGAAAGACGAGTGGATGGGATGAATGACTCGATGGGAGGCGGGGTCAATGGAATGGTGGGAGATGGATGGATGGGAGGGAGGGAGGGGAGAAATGGAGTGAAGACGGGTGGGCGGATGGGTGGTAGAGAAAGCCCGATGGAGAAGGCAGCCCCGGACTGGATGTAGACCATGCACGGACTGGATCCGTTTCTTCCTCACCTCCCGCAGCCGGCCACTGTCCTCGGTGGCCTGAAAGCTCTGGCTGAGCGCTTCCACCTCCTTTTCAAAGAGTGAGCGGACTTCACTGAATCCTGAGCTCACCGGCCCCATGAGCTCCTCGAGGATGGAGGCCAGGAAGGGCTGCACACTCTCCGCACAGCTTCTCCGCACCGGCTCCGCCACCATCGCTGGAGGGAGAAGAGGCCAGGAAACTGTGACTGAGGGCAAGAATCGGCTCAGGTGCACTGGAGCCAGGCCAGGACTGGAGAGTGCCCCACGGAGCCATTTAATAGGCAAAGCGAGCTCAGGCGGGCAAGCCAGACAATCGTGGTGAGGCCCCTACCCGCACTTACCAGAATGGAAAACCATCGGACACTTTGAGAATTAGAGCAAGGAGAACTCCCCCCACCAGCGCACCCCCCCACCCCCCGAAGTAGCCCTGTGCCCTGTGATGAAGCAGAGCTTCCTACTTAGTCCCCACAGCTAACGAGATGTCTGAAAACAAAGGAACAAATGCTGGCGGCCTATATATATAAACCACTATTATAGAGATTAGCTTCTAAAAACATATATAGGTTGTCTTCTAAAAACAATGGTGTTAAAATTAATTTTCTTAAGAGTTAATCAATCAGGTGCTACAACTCCATCCTTCTAAACTCAAGCTCAGTATTTTCTTAGGCAAATGGAACCAAAGTTCATTTAGTTTGCCCCCCTCCGCTCACTGCCCATCACCATACTCTAAGTCCACTAAAAATAATAATAAAATCTCTCCTTCCCAATCATCAGTGAAGAAATCGCAGAGCAGAAAACTGTAAAGAGGGATCAAAAAATAGTTTAATCACAATCACCCCATTCATGAAAGACATGTCAAGTCATTGATTTGTTTAGAAGAGGAAGAGTTGGGTGGAAATCCTGATCCGCCGCAGGAGGATCTGCAGATCTGCTAGATCTGCTAGATCTCAACCAGGCAGAAGAGCCTGGGCTGGGGGATCAACTTCAGGATCCAGCAAATGATTCAATCCCTCATCCTAGATAATGAGAGGCCAATGAACCTCTGGACACCGAAGCTCAGGTGAGCGCCTGGTGGGTGCTAGACACTGGTGAATAATCAGGGTGAGCATCCGTAGGGGCATACTTGTTCTGTCCGCAGCTTCTTTTGTATTATGACAGCAAAACTGTAATCTTGGGTGTGAAAATAAAAAGATTCTGATTCAGTGAGTCTGGGGTAGGACAGAGAAATCTGATTTGTTCTTAAATGTAGAAGTGATTCTATGATCACCCAGGTTCAGAATCAGCCACCTTGGTAGACCAGAAGGCTAGCTTTGTAGCTGTGGGAAGTCACGTGGCCTTGCCACGCTATCAAGGAACTGAAGGGGGAGCCACAAACCCCTCTAGGTGCCAGTTCCTCCATCTGGGGAGGGACCAGGAGGAGACCCAGAGATGGGAGGTGCCCTCACCCTAATTTGCAGAACCTAGACTACAATTTGTTTCTTTCTTAACTGTACTATCGCCAAATAACGATTAAAATGAGATGACTGAGGACATTTTTATTTGATAACAGAGATTTTTCACAGTTGAGAAGGAGCAGATGTGGATCTTATTCTGAGAATCTGAGATGATATAGACTACTGTAACGTTCACAAATATTTGGGATATAAAAACATTGAATGATCATGGAATTATTGGGGAAAAGCTTAGAGGCTTGATTCAAGGATAGTTGATTTTGAATTGCATTATTTAAATATAAATAATCTATGAGTGTTTTAAAATGGATTGCTTGATACCAAAATGCAAAATTGTTTGTCAGGAAAATAAAAGAACCCACTAAATAAATTAACTTAGAGAAGAACTATTTGAAAAATGTGTACACTTGATTATCTTACTGTTGTTTTCTTTATGCCACACAAGTATGTGAATCGATATTGATGACCAGGAGATAGACTATTAAGGTGTTTGTTTTGTTTTTTGTGAAAACAATTACGACAGAGTACCTTCATATTTTAAAAAAAACCAACCATCTTTAGAAGAATGAAAAGGTTTGAAAGGTTATACCACCCTAGCAACGTCACAGGACAGAGGGGACCTGCTCCACAGGGTTTCTAAGGCTCTAAACCTTTGAAAAGGCAGACTGCCTCGTTTTCCTTCTGTGGAGCAGCTGGGAGGTTCGAAGCGCCAACCTTTTGGTTATCAACAGTGCACTGTAACCAATGTATCGGCAGAACCCCTAAAGTGTAAATAAAATAGCAAAACAAAACCTACTGCCATCACGTTGATTCTGACTCCCCCAGACGCGACAGGACAGGATAGAACTGGCCCGGGCGTTTCCAGCGCTGTAAATCATGACCGGAGCAGACTGCCTCATCTTTCTCTCACCAAGCAGTGGGTGGCTTCAGACCCCAGCTTTTCAATTAGCACCCAGGCACTTCAAAGCTGTACCCCCAGGGTTCCTTGAAAGGGTATACAGCAGAGTTTTACGAGTAGATATCTCTGAAAGGCAGAATCTGAACATTTCCATATTTCAGCGTTGCATTATGTATCCTGCAATAACATGTACCTAAGGTTTGGTTCCCCTTTTCCACATTCTGTCAGTGCAGTGTGATTTGGGAGGAAACGAAGAAGGAAATGGTCTAGGGATGGATCACTTACTGGCCGTCTCTTTTTTTAGTAGGAAAGGTATTTTAAAGGTGGCTTTGTGAGATAGGATGTGCTATGGTGAGGTCTTTACTTTTCAGGGACTGCAGAAGACAGGGAGTCGTTTTTACTTCCTTGGTTCTGGAGGGGCTCACAGCATGGCTTTGTACCATTTTGTATCGGAATTTCTTCTGGGAAACAAGCACCGTCCCCACATGAGGGATTCCAGGGGTCACAGAAGAGCAGATGCTATTAAATCATGGAGGGACAGACTCGAACCTGCCGTCGGACAGTTTTAGAATCATCTTGAGAGGGAATATCCTGGGGTGTAGATTCACCAAGTTTCCTAAGAGCTGCTGCAATCAAACATGGTGTTCATATATTCCATTGAGTGCCTATTATTTTTCCTTCCTTTCCATCCAGGAATAGTGGGTTTCTTTATAAAGTTGGCCTGCATCCAGGGTTTAATGAGGCTAGATCAAATTCAAGTCACTGTAAGTCAAATCCAAGGCCAACACCAAGGGCTTCTATGAAGCTTCTCTCAGTGCCCAATTCCCTCTAAGACCTACCTCGCTGAGCCCATTCATCCTCAAAGCTTCTGACTGCTCCCCACTCTTCATTGGGGAACTTTCCATCGTATGGAAGAGTTCTGGAATGGGCCCACAACCCGGAAAACCAATCGTCGTTGTTATGCCAAGCCTGCCGCATAACTTAGGTTCAGAAGCAAGCACAGCGCAGTCTTCTTGCTGTGAGGCGTGAAGGTTGAAATCGGGACGCAGATTTAGCGAGTCCTTTGCAAGAACTGGCTTTCCTTCCACTGCTCTTTGCAAAGGAATATTGTTCTAACGGGTGTTCTATTACTCAGCCATCAATTTCCTTATCATCAGACGACCAGGCGTGGCTGCCTTATTAGCATTCTGTGCAAAAAGGAACTGGCTGATACCCTCCTTTGCCACAGGCTGGATCAATTGCACTGCCAGCGGCCACTCAACTCTTCCCAGCAGGGCAGGGAGGTGTGGCAGAAAAAGACCCAGTGTGGGGGTCTCCATTGCTGGCAAAAGACCTCACTGCCTCCTCTGGGCTTGGAAGGCAGGGACAACTCTGTAGTTGATTTTTGATATCCATGATAGCTATGTTTCAGAGTCAGCATGAACCCCAACTTAGTTAATCCTCAACTGCTAGTCCCTAGTTCTCAATCTGTGGTCGTGAACCCTTTGGGGGTCGAACAACCCTTTCACAGAGGTCGCCCGATTCATAACAGTAGCAAAATTACAGTTATGAAGTAGCAAGAAAATGATTTTATGGTTGGGGTGGTCACCACCACATGAGGAACTGCAAAAGGGCCGCAGCATTCGGAAGGTTGAGAACCACTGCCTTAGAGAAACAGGGGCCCAGCCTCTGTTCATAACATTTTTGTCAACCAATCAATATCTAACCTTGTTTTATATCTCTTTTTGTTTAAAGACGCCTTATTTAATAGAAAGGCGCCCTAGTGGATTCGTAGCTAATGCTTTGGGTCAGTAGTTTGAACCCACCCGTGGCTCTGAGGGAGAAAGATGGAACTTTCTGCGTGTAAAGATGTACAGCCTCAGAAACCCTCCATAAGGTCACTGTGAGCCAGAATTGACTGACAGCAGTGGGTCGAGTTTGGGTCTGGTGTTTTATAGAGTCGACTCCATCGCATTGAACTCACAGCCAGGAGCACCATAAGCCACGCCTGCACGATTCTCGTCTCGCCTTTGTAAGGACCATCACCGGCTTCTTACACTGAGGCACGTTAGCACTCTACTTGGGCCCGCTTTGAAACACAAAATCACCACCAAGAAGCACAAAACAGACCGCGAAAAGCACACTCGTGCACAGTACAAGGGCTGTAACCAGACGCAGAGCTGCGCCTTACTCAGTCTCAGCTGGGAGCCTGCACTTCAGACACCTGGAACTCTTCCTGGCTCTGCACATGCGCTGGTCTGCGGGGACTGTGAAAGCAGCTGGGTACTGATTTGGGGTCACACATTGATGTCCTTGAATGATGGTGCTGGCGGAGAATATTAACTATACCGTGGACAGCCAGATGAACACCAGCTCTGTCGTGGAGGAAACCCAGCCCAAAGCCATTTGCCCCTGTGCCGCAGCCCGCGCTCTGGCCCTGTTCACAGGATTCCTCTGACCTGTGCCCCATTGCCTCCCCCTCCGCCCCTCCACATTCTGCTCACGCTCCAAGGTCAGGTCTGAGTTTACCGACTTGGGAAAGCCCAGTGACCCCAAGCGTCCTGAACTCTGCTCTCTGACTCGCCTTACGCCCCACCCGTGGATGCGCCACTATTTTTCAAGCCCACGGAGATGCTGTTGTGAGAAATACTGTGTTTATGACACATCAACTCATAAGCCTTCTGGAAGCCGAGGCGGCGGCTGAACAGCAGTTGGGCAGTGATTTACGGTGAGAATGCAGGCTGCAAGCTGATGGGTGGGAGGCGGCCTCTGCCACCCACCACCTCTTGAATCGGGGCTGTCTGTGCCGAAACACTGCGATCACAAGTAGTTCCTGCTCAGGGTCCGGGTGAGAGCTGCATGCATTAACTAGGTGGGAGCGGCTTCGTCCACAGTACCCTGGAGGTATTCATCCCGTCACCTCGGCCCTCAGGGCTGCTGGCTTTATAATTTCCCCCACCAACACCCCCAGAACATGATTCCAGATGGGGCGCTCTCAGCGCTTTGCAGAGTGGGCGTGGGATCAGCCTCCAGGTTGGGCATCACTGTGCCCTTCCCTCGCGTCTGACTTGTAAGTCATGCCCTCCTCAACTTGTAAGATCAAGGCACCATCTTTGATTCACAGGAGCAGAATAAATGCTCCCTGGAAAAATCAGTAATTATGGGGCAGAATGGAAGAAGGCCCACTGCTTTGCTTTCCTTTCAGAAACTGTACAGGAAGAAATGGAGGAACCACTACTAATACTCCCTTCAAAAATAAATTATTTTAAAAATCCTCAACCTTGTATAATGCAGGCTAAAGTATACTTCCTGTTAAGAATGTGGAGATTGGGGGCCTGGTTAAAATGTGTTTCTGATATTTCGTTTTAAAAAGACTTGACTCCTATTTCCTGACGAGGCTTCTTTCCAAAAACAAACTCTAGGCTGGGCTGGAGTCTGTTCATCTTGTGTAGGATCCAGCTGAGCCCTAGAGCTTTAGACAGGAGGGAGAGAAGGGGAAAGAGGAGGAGACAAAGAAGTTTCATTCAGGCCATGAGAACCACCCCACCCGCCCCCCACAGGCCCAGCTTAGCTCCAAATAACGGGAAGTTTTGCACAACAGCTGAGTGTTGGCAGTTTTCATTTGTATAAACTATTTCAATATATAGTCAACAATAGAACTAGTTGTGCGAGATAGAGACACAACAAACAGAAAACACTCTAAAGTTAATTTTTATGTGGCTTGGGAAGGCACTGTATGAACAGATATTCATTCATACACTGATACACACAGGCGTGCCCCTACAAGTCTCCTCTCAGGAAGACCTGGGCAAAGGATCTCAACACAAGCTAGTGGGCAGTATGGAGAGATCCTGAATTACAAAGAAGAACCCACCAAGCAGATAAACACTGATTAGATTATAAGTCTCATGAGGACAGAAACAGGGTCTTCCCTGTTCACCGCTAAACTTTCAACCTTGCTCAGTAACTCACTCACTCACTCACTCACTCACTCACTCACTCACCCATAGTACTTGGTAAATAGTTGTGAATGAATTAACGAGACTGAGTGAGCAAGTCAAGGGAGAATGGTGGACTGCAGAAGGTCACTGATAAACAAAGATGAGAGGCATGCTTTTGAAGTGACATTCACTATCAGTGGCTTTGTTGGGATATGGTGGCCCCAGATGGAATGGAGAACCATAGACTATAATTGTCTTGTAGAACTTCTTTGAGGCCATTCAAAGCCTCTTGTGTAGAGACAGGCAAGCACTTTTCCCTCAAGGGTCAAACGATGAATAACTGAAGCTTTGTGATTCATAAGGTCTCTGTCCCAGCCACTCAGTTGCTATTTTAGTCTGAAAGCAGTCATACTAAATGCACAATACAGAAATGAATGTGCGTGGCTATGTTACAACAAAACATTTTTTTACCAAAAAAAATTGAGAGGGCTGAATTTGGCCTATAGGCCACAGTTTGCTGACCCTGCTGTGCCGACCCTCCTGCTCTCAAAAGACGTCAGGAAGGCACAGAGAAGTCAAGAGGCCCATCCAAGTACACTAGCAGTTGTAGCTGGAGCTAGAATTCAAATTATTGTCTCCAAGCCAAAAACGTGGCCTTCCTGTCGTAGCAAAATCCATTTAATCACAGGGACTCAGGTCTGTGGTCCCAGGGGACAGGCACCACGGCCCATTGACAGAACAGTCCACAAAGGCATTGTTCTACATGCAATTTGGTTGTCGCTTTCAAGCAGCCATGTGAATTGAAACGACTGGTCTCTACCTCCCCAGGGGGAAAAAGTCATGAACATGGAAGATGGATGGATGGAAACAATGAGTCCAATGGACCACGGGACCACACAAGTATCAGCCTCCAGGACCCAGAGACAAGAACGACTACATGGTGCCCAGCTACCACTATCTGCTTTTAATGGAATCATATTAAAAGGTCCTGGAGAGGGTGGGAGAAAAATATGGAACAAAAATAAAGTTCATTAAAGTGGCAGAGATTACTGGTCTGATAGAGACTGCTACAACCCCTGAGATTATGGCCCATGCCATCTTCCAGGTCTGGAGTTGAAGTCACCCCCCTCGACGCGGTTTCCAAGCAAGCAATAGACAAGCCTATAAGGGAAACATGCTCACCTTAGAAAAAGGAACTGTTTGAGATTAAAAGGGCACACTTACCCAAGGACAAGGTTCATGAGGGTCAGGAAAGGAAGAAGACTGGAAATGGGTAGCACAGAGAGGAAGCGGATCAGCCATGTCACAGTAAGACAGTGGTTCTCAACCTGTGGGTCACAACCCCCTTGGGGGTCGAGCGACCCTTTGACAGGGGTCACCTAAGACCATTGGAAAACATAAATATTTCACAATACATAATTACATATTGTTTTGTGATCAATCACTATGCTTTGATTATGTTTAATTATGTTCAATTTGTAACAATGAAAATACATCCTGCATATCAGATATTTACATTACGATTCATAACAGTAGCAAAATGACAGTTATGAAGGAGCAACGAAAATAATTTTAAGGTTGGGAGTCACCACACCATGAGGAACTGTATGAAAGGGTCGCAGCATTAGGAAGGGTGAGAACCACAGCATTAAGGGGTTGCAATGAAGGAGATGAAACAAAATGTGTATGAGCCGTAAATGTAATAAACTGATGATAGGATCTGCTCGGACACCTTCAACCAAGTCACGAGAAAACGTTTTGAAGAAAAGTCACTTCTCCATTGACTGCCATATGCACTGAGAGACTGTATGTGCTAACCACGGTGCTAAACACTGGGTATACCTCAGTGAACCAAGACACCATGGCTCTACTCTTCACTTCTATCTGATAGGGGGGTTGGGGGGGGGGCAAGGGTCCTAGCAAAGGCAGAGGTCATTAGAAGACAGCAAAAGAAACACCGCAATGGGGGACCTATAGACAGTATCAGAGGGCACAGGCTCCAATACAAGGCGGGAAACAAAGGGCTTCAAACTTATATCCATGAAGCTTCCATGCAAAGCCAGCACCTTGACCACAGCACCTTGACCAGCACTGCCACCACACGGGTTACTGCACTGGTTGCCACCTCCTTGCAATTTCTTCCATTTAATTCTCATCTGAAACCATTTGAGGAGCCCTAGTGACATGGCAGTTAAAGAGTCTAATTGCCAACCAAAAGGTCAGTGGTTTGAACCCACCCGTTGCTTCAGGGGAAAGATGTGGCAGTCTGTCTTGGTCAGTAGGTCTATTTGTAGCCTTGGAACCCCTAGGGGTCACTCTGAGTTAGAATCAACTCCATGAAATGAGTTTGATTAAGAGGTGGGCGTGTGGGGGTGGGAGCTCTGAAACCATTTTATTCTAAGTGCGCAGCGGATACCCCCATGTCCCTTGTGGTGAATTAGCAGGAGCGTGGATTATCTCTACTGACCTTTGATCTTCCCATTTAAGAAGTTCTTTGAGCTCACAATCTGGTCCATGTCTGACCGGATCGTTCCGTCCAGGCCCTTGGTCAGACTTCTGCATTCCTCCTTCAAGGCGCTCAACCCTTCCGAGACTTGAAGCTGGACCAGGTTGTAAGCCGCCTCCAGGAGCTGCCACGGGAGTAAGCACACAAATCAGGCACTGCCGTGTGAGAGCGTCCGAGAGCGTCCGGCAGAGTCAAGCAGGGAGATGCGGGCTTATCACAGCCGATCGTAATATAAACCATGCTGCGCACACACGCTCAGGTTCCTTCCAAACTCCAAGTCTGTTTGGATTAGTCCTCATGGAAGTGAGACTGAGCAGGCAGACTGAGGCAGACAGTTCCACATGCAGGGAGGAACTAGTAACAAAAACACAATACAAAACCAACAGCCGCCCTATAGAAGAGGGTGTTCATCTGCGGAGCACAGCCGCAGGGCAAACGAGCACTTACACCGAACCAGGTCCTTTTCCTGTCGTTCTTTTTCCCCTTCATTTTGGGCAGCAGGTCTGTCTGGAGGGTTGGCAGGAGTTCCTCCATCACCAGGTTACTCAGGATCTGCAGAGAGGAAGAGAGCACCGGGTTGGCTCGTCAGTGAGGGCAGGCTGGACCCAAGCGTCCGGCCACCCAAAGGTGCCATGGCGGTTTATACTCAATCAGAGTCCACAGACACCTCAGTCAAGGCAATCTCAGCACAAAATGTTCCACAAGGAAGAATGCCAAGCTCACTGCCGTCAAGTTGGATGCCAACTCATTGGGACCCTCTAGGACAGGGAGAACTGGCCCTGTGAACGTTTGAGATGGAACTCTTTACGGGAGCAGAAGGTCTTGTCTTTCTCCCTCTGACTTGGCTGGTGGTTTTGAACAGATGACCTTAAAGTTATCAGCCCAACACACAACCACAATGCCACCGGGCCTCCTTACAAGGAATAATAATGCCTGCTTATTATATATGTTTCCTATCAGGAAAAAAAAATCAAGCTCCTCACTTTCAAAGGTTGCCTGTTTAAACTAGAAGAACTTAGTATAATGTAGACAATAGGGGTATGTCCATTATGAATCCGGACATCCTTGGCAAAACCGTGAGGTGGGTCAGGTTTGGTTTGGGTGGATGAATTTTCATCTCCCTGGAATCCAAGTGTCTTTTTGCTCTTTGTCCCTGCTGAACCCCCGAGCCCTTCCTCCATCCTGTTTCGAGTTTGGGAAAAGAAAAAGGGGGACCACGACTTTGGAACAGGGGCATCTGTGGCTGAGCAGACTGTAGGGCATCCAAAGCTTTAAGAGAGTGCCAGCCAGAAGGCTCCTTAGAACGAGGGTGCCACGTCACCTTGCTTCGTCGACATGTCACGGGAAAGTCCGACCGTCAGACCAGGTCACTGTGTTCAGTCCAGGGGAGGCTCATCACAATGGAGGGAAGCCCTCCCGGCGACGGAGGCGCACCAACCACTCACAGCAGTGGGTGGAAGCATACAAAGGTCGCCAAGAGAGTGGGGGATTGAGGGAGGGCTCGTTCCATGAGTGAGCAGTTCACAGAGAATCTGGGCTGGCGCAACGGTAACAAATAACAGAATTTTCTGGGGTGTTTTTGTTTTTTAAATTCCTCAAGCTTTCCTCTAAAATTTTCTTTGGACGAATAAAAATGATCCTTTTGAATCTGAACAGTATTTTACATGCACCTCATCACAAGGCTCCACCTCACTACTTACCCCCGCTGTCCCCAAGTGAGTGCAGATTCGCTTTCACCATGAGCCTTTGGGGGCTCACAGCTCCACTTGCAACCGTAGGCTGCAGCCTAAGATTTATGAGAGGGCCAGGCTCGTTCAGGCAAAGGAGACAGGCAGCAAAGTGGAGAATCATGTGAAACATCTGTTCCGAGAGTTTTATTTATCTAAAATAATCTCCCTTCTTGCAAAAATTCAAAGAAGGTTCGGGAATCAAGAAAGATTTCCCGGGGCTGTGGGTCAGGCTCATGCTGGTGAAAGCACGATGAGCTCCTTGGATGCTGCATGTCACCGGCGCTCTGTGCCAGCAGGGTGCGCACTCCCAGGATGGAGGTGGACCAGCCATCTAGCTGCACTGTGCCTGTGTCAGCAGGTGCTATCAGTGGGGTCAGCTGGGGCACCTGTCACATCACAAAGACTATAACAGGGCCAGGGTTTTCACTAGTCCTGGTAATCCTTATCCAGGGGTGTTTTTGTCTTTTGGCGCCCGTCCCCAGGGGCAGTCAAGAGTCGGACCAAACCAACTGTTTTCCGATGACTTTCAAAGGAACTTGACACATGAGCTCTATGGAAACCAGCAGGCTCAGACATTAGATTCAAGACCAAATAAAAACCAAACTCACTGCCATTGAGGCGAGGCTGACTCATAAGCAACCCTGCAGACTGGGTAGAAGGGCCACTGTGAGTTTCCAAGGCTGTAACTCTTCACGGGAGTAGAAAGCTGGTCTTCCCTCCGAGAGATTCAAGAAGACCCTTGAGATAAACTCCAAGGAGCCCCGTCCTGGCTCAGGGAAGGTAGTCCTTGCCTGCCCAAGAGTGACCGAAGCATGACCGGGCGGGTGGGTAAGGAGACAGCCACGAGAACTTAGACTCCACGGGAAATACCTTGCTGGTCTGCAAAGGGTTAGGCTCAAGAACTGTAACCCTTGGTCTGATTCGTTGCTTTGCAGAGGTTGGCTTGAATTGGAGTTTAAGTGTGAAAGGGGTTTGAAGAAAAGAAATGTTATATAAAAGCCGCCTCCCTAAAAAAAGGTTCCATTTGGGTGGGCTTATAGGGGGTTTCTTTGTTGTTGTTTTTAAGTCTTTCTCATACAGTGCTCCAAGAATTTGGTTCCGTGTCAGCAGTTAGAGAACGGCAGGGAAATAAGTCTGGAAGGGAAAAAAAGCGAAGGGGAGGGCAAGAGGGAGTTGGAACCAGAGTCTCTGCGTGCTGAAGCCCAGAGGTGCTTCTCCCTCCTGGGTCATCTTCCTCTACCCTCTGTCCCCTGCCTCACCTCGGCCCTGCGCTGCCCTTCACCTGCCTGCTCAGGGAGCCCTGTCCAGTCCAGCTCTCCACAGCAGAATCCCCTTGGATGAGATACAGAAAAGCAGAGAATCTGATATACATCAATCATGATAATGAAGGGGCTCCCCAATCTCCTTCCTTCAAAACAGGCGCTACTGAGTTTTACCATAACAGACCTAAAAGTATCGCCTTTTGCTTACAGAGAGGGGTGGGTTTCTGGTTACCTGCTGGGACTTGGTGAATTGAAAAATTCCACCCCACAGACAGACATCAAACAAATCACAGACGCAATGGAAGCTAACCCAGGCTCGTGCCCTGAAGGCCTTGCCACAGGGGCACTGTTCTGCACAGACACCCATCCTCCTTCCCCGGGTGGTGGGCCCCCCAACCTTTGGTCCAGTGAGTGGCCACTCAGGGAAACCAATTCACTTAAAGGGGTCATATTCCAGGCTGTTAGACCAAAGTCAACTCCAGAAGGTTTGGACCTGGCTTTAAAAGTGGATCGTTTTCTTATCTCAAAAGCATCCTGTTCTGTGAGAATGATGGGCTGCTCTCTTGGCTCATCTGGTTAATTTAGAGCAGCAGTTCTCAACCTGTAGGTTGCGACCCCTTTGGGGGTCAAATGACCCTTTTACGGGGTTGCCCGATTCATAACAGTAGCAAAATTATAGTTATGAAGTAGCAACGAAAGTAAATTTATGGCTGGGGGGGTCACCACAACATGAGGAACTGGATGAAAGGGTTGTGGCATTAGGAAGGTTGAGAACCACTGATTTAGAGCTAAATTATACATATCCAGATAATTGTGCAGTATTTCCCCTCATGATTTCAGCAGATATATTTATATCGACAGGTAGAAAATTGCTATTTTTCTATTGGCATGCAAATATTTTCACCTTAGCAGCATGTCAGCAAGCTCTTCTACAATATGTTCTTTGTCTGAACCCTTGGCCAGCTTAACTTGCCATGAGGCTGAGCACACTTGTTGTGTGAGTCAGAACTGTGCAGATACTAATGTGGCAAGACCTAAGTCTCCGGAACGCTTGCCCCTGTGGGTCTGAGGGGAGGCGAGCACTACGATGAGTTCCCGGAAGATGTGAAGACAAGCAAATACACCCAGGGCTTTAGACCAAAGATGCCACACTCTGCAACTCTAGTAACGCCATGCCACTTCCTTTCACCACTGGGCAGCTGCTGAGGACTGCTGGCCTCCCTGCTCTGTTGGCCTTAGGAGAAGCGTGTGCTCTTGTCCAGCACTGGGATTACAGGATATGATGAACCTTCAACCGTGCCAGGCTTTGGAAGCCATTTCCTTTTTACCAGCTTCTCCAAGGACGGCCTGACGTTTCTGTCACAGACTGGCTTTGACTTTAGCCAAGTCTTCACCCTCTCTGAGCGCGTTTTCCCGCATCCGGAGGATGCTGGATCAATCAGGCTAGCGTCCCTGATCACAGTTACATTTTATGAGTCTGCGATTTCACCAAGGATTCACAAATTCCTTCGAGAACAAACCTGCTTACGGAATCATTTAGCAGCTCCAGTCTTGACTGGGCTCCCCTTCTCGGTGTCTTTTGTTCGCTTATATGCGGTTTGTTTTCTTTTGGGGTCCACATAGGGCACGTTTGATATTACACAGTTAACACCACTCTACGGCTATTTTAGAGTCACTGGGTGGTACAAACGCTTACCACGCTCAACTGTTAGCTGAAAGATGGAATACTAGTCGACAGGCCGGGCCACCTGCTTCCCAAAGTTCAGCCACTGACAGCCCTAGGGAACACACGTAGGGCTACCGTGAGTTTTCACTGACTCAGTAGCAGCCAGTTTGCTGTATCACTAAGGCTTGATGACATCCATCTGTGTGGGTCATTAGCGGTTAGAGTCCACGGAGTTCCTTTCAACACATAGTGACTCCATGTAGTAGAGCGGAACGACCCTCAATGGTTTTCTAGGCTGAATCTGGATAGGCCAGGAATCCTGGTGGTGCAGAGGGTAAAGGACTCCGTTGTCAACCAAATGGTTGGTGGTTCAAAGCCACCAGCAGCTCCAAGGGGAAAAGATGAGGCAGTCTGCTTCTGAAAGGATTGACAGCCTTGGAGGCCCTAGGGGGCATTTCTACCCTGTCCTCCATGGTCACTATGATTCAGCATCAACTGCATGGCAGCGGGTATCCCTTCTTGACAGTTACGAGTACAGCATCGTGTGCATGGTGCCCTGGCAGGCGATGGGTAAGCACTCAGGTGTGCACTGAAAGTCGGGTCTGCAGGAGAAAGCGGTGGCAGTCTGCTTCTGTCAAGATTGGCAGCGAAGGAAGTCCCATGGGGTGGCTCTGCTCTGTCCCTTAGGGCTGCTGTGAATCAGAACCGATGTGAAACAGTGCATTTGTTTTTCTGGCTTTACCCTTAGAGAGCAGATGGCCAGCTCTTGCTCCCAGTGTGTTGAAACTGCTCAACACTCACAGATATATGTCCACACATACACACAACGCTGCCTTGTTCTCTGCACAACTATGTAAGACTTGCCCCACCTTATATCAGGGACGTGTCACTTAGTTCTCTTGTGTATAGCTTACAGTGCTTGTCCCCTCATCTCCCAGTCACAGTGACCCTACAGGACAAGGTGGAACCGTCCCTATGGGTTTCCAAGATTTAAATCTTATGGGAATAGAAAGCCTCATCTTTTTCCAGTGGAGCAGCTGATGGTTTCAAACTGCTGATCTTTCAGTAAGCTGAAAGTGTAACCTACTACACCACCAAGACTCCTCTGAAAACACATCAGCCTACAGAAAAACCTCAAGAAACAAACAGAACAGAACATAGCAAACTCAACACTAACCCCACCAGCCAGATTTATGAAGTTCCTGTTTCCAATGGCATTGTCAAAAAAAGTGAGCGGGACAGGAGATTCCATATGAAAGAAAAAATAACGCAGGTGGAGGGACTGAATTCAAGGAGCTGAATAAATGTGTGACTTGGCATATTCCTGAGGTTGGTGTGGATTTGACACTGGACCAAGGGTCGGAAGCTGTTTATCCACTTAGCAATAGACCCTGGGACTACAGACATCACAGGGTAGGGCCATCTCCCTGTCTGTATCCTGATCACTGTATGCTGCACAGACCACCATCGAAAAAAACCAGTGCGATGGAGTGGATTCTGACTCACAGCAATCCGTAGGAAAGGACAAACCACTTTCTAGGGTTTCTGAGACTGTCAATCTATAGGGAAGCAGACAACCTCATCTCTCTCCCTTGCAGCATCTACTGGGTTTAAACTTTTGACCTTATGGTTAGTAACTGAGATAGTTTATTGTGCCAGCCTGGCTAATAAACACAAGTGGGATTAACTGAAGGGCAGAGAGATAAATGGCTTGGTGAGCCTCGCCTTTCTTGTCTCTCGCTCTTTGATCATCGGACCAGTATGTGGCTGCCTTGCTTGTTCTGTGCCTCAATTTAAAGGCTACACTACCTGTGGGATGCCTAGCCTGTGGACTATGTCGCTGTAAGTTGAGGTCCCTTAAAGACATCTCTGGAGCTGGGGACTGGCGGTTAGTGACCTGGCTGACAGTTGATGACCTGCCATGTGATTGGCGGCTGTGCTGAGATAGCCTAGCTCTCTCTATAAATGGAGGAAGATCTGGCAGCAGACTAGACTTGAAGGACTGCTAGTCTCTCACAACTCTCTCTCACGGGAGTGAGTTGCACTGAGCCATTTGTAGTGCTTTATAATTTAACCGTTCATTTCTTGTATTATATATTTATCTGTATATGATTTAACAGTTCGTTTCTTGTTATATATCTCATTATCTTTATAAATAAATATATTAAATTATCAGCAATTTGGTTTTATCTCTCTAGAGAACCCTGTCTAACACAGTAACCCAATGCTTAACCTATAGCATTACCAGGGCTCCTTGGTACTCAGCAAAATGCTTGGCATATAGTAAAACAAAAACTCACTTCCATCGAGTGGATGCGGACTCATGGGGACTAATGGTAGAACTGTCCCGTGAGTTTCTGAGACTTACTGTTTATGAGAGTGAAAAGCCCCATCTTTCTCCTGAAAAGCGGTTGGTGGTTTTGAACTGCTGACCTTCGGGTCACAGCCCAATGTAACCACTACACCACCAGGGCTCCTTGACATATACTAGGTTCTCAATAAAGAGTTGAATTCATAAAAGTGGGTAAGTCACTTAATATCAGTATTATCATTTACAAAATGAAAGTAACATCAACGGCCCTACCGAGCCCATAGAGTGTGTAAGGTGAAGAGACAAAAGGAGCGTGAACGTTATGAAGCATCACACAGAGCTGTTTGACATGGACTTATCTATACAGCATGTTTGCTTATGCCACAGGCCAGTCAGTGCCATATATTTCAGCTTCTCCTTCTTTGGTTTTTCTTTTTGGCATACGTCTGCTTGTTCTTGGTCCTCTTAGATGTATAATTGGATGTGTTTATCCCAAATATTAGATAACAGGAATTGGCTTAAGTACTGGGATAAGCCTCAGGTTGGGAAAGAAAGGGGTTTAAAATTAATCAAAACAAAAATGAAAAAAGACTTTTTTCTGAGGCATATGGTAAAGCAATAAAGAGTGGCATGCAGAAAGGTTTCTGGCTTTAAATGTTTCATGAGCATAGAGAAGGAAGCTGCCATCTGGCATCATCTGAATGCTCTTCCCTAATAATACATTTCACAGACCCCAAAAGAGACCCTCTGGGGGGCGGATAAGAAAAGAACGGCGTTCTTGGACACTCCACATAAGAGTACACCAAGTGCATATCCTCCCTGCTTGGCTGAGCCAGCTGACGAGACACTGTCCTCTCTTTTTGAGGAATTAGCCACATGCTTGGCATCATGAAGCCGTTTCCTTTGGAGACTACCAACACCTGATGAAGCCCCAGCCCCCAGGTGCTGAGGCACAAGCCTGGCCTTTCATCGGACCGTGGGAAATTCGAGTGGCCTCTGGAGCACCTTGTTGGCAGAGTGGTGACGTACTCTGGGGGACTGCTCAAGGTCAGCAGCTCAAACCCCCCCAGCAGCTCCTCAGGAGAAAGATGAGGCTTTCTATTCCCATAAGGAGATAGTTTCAAACCCACAGGGTTTCCTACTCTGTCCTACAGGGTCACTACGAGTTGGCACTGCCTAGAGGGCAGTTAGTTTGGGGCGTTGCTTTTCTTTTTCTTTTTTTGAGTCCATGGAACCCCAGTAGCATAGCGACTCGTGAGTTGGGCTGCTACCTGAAAGGGGAGCAGTTCGAAACCACGCCAGCAGGAGGAAGCTGAAGCTGTCTGCTCCACAAATACTGCCCGTCTCAGAAACTCCACGCGGGGCTGTTCCGAATCAGGATCGACTCGGTGCCCGTGGGATGGAGCACGGACACGAGGTCAGGTAAAGGCAATAAATAGAAGAGTGCTGGGTGGGTGCTTGTGAAATTCCACTAACAATTTCAATGATATAGCACTAGACAGACAAAGACCTCCAACTGTATGCTAAATATTTTAGCAACAATGTCTCATTCAACTACCACGACCCTGCAATGCAAACATCATTATTCTTTTATTCCTGTTCTTTTCCCCTTCAGAGGAGGACCTCGAGACTAAGAGAGAGAGGATGAATAACTTGCCAAGGCTCCCACGGAGCGCACTCCCGCTCTGGAACGCAGTGCACTCCGCGACACACCACTGTGCTCAGGGTCGCTCAGGTAATTCCCTGGAAAGAATTACCCACTCTCTAATGTCCCTGGGAACAGCTCCTCCCATTGTAGTTGAAGTGTTTCTGGCTGCCTTATTTACTGCCTGCTCTGGTGGGGCATTTAGAGGCAATGGCCAAATGGTTCTAGAGCAGCAGTTCTCAACCTGGGGGTCGCAACCCCTTTGAGGATCGAAGGACCTTTTCACAGGGGTCACCTATAACACCTATTTCTGATGGTCTTAGGAACTGAGGCACACTCCTCTGTCCATCTCCAGGTGCGTCCGCCCACATGCAGATACGCCCGCCCACATACGAGTACCCTGCATGGTGACTGTCACCCATGCTACACCATGCTGCAAGACAAAATTTCATTGATTTGTCATTAGAAATAAATATTTCACAATATATAATGACACCTGTTTTTGTGATTCAGCACTATGCTTTAATTATGTTCAATTTGTAACAATGAAAATACATCCTACTTCTCAAGATATTTACATGATGATTCATAACAGTAGAAAAATTACAGTTATGAAGTGGCAACGAAAATAAGTTTGTGGTTGGGGGCCACCACCACATGAGAAATCGTATTCAAGGGTCGCAGCATGAGGAAGGTTGAGAACCACTGCTCAAGGGGATGACACAAAACCGGCCTCTGAAGTCCCACCTTGCATGCTGCAGCTTCTCCTTTGTTCGGTTAGCTCTCTGTTAAATGGCTCTGCCTCCACCACCCGGCCTGACAGAGGAGCCCAGATCTTGAGCCTGGCGTTACCTGGACTTCGTTCCCAGCGATCATTTCGCAGGAGCCGTAGTGGCCTTTCTCCTGGCGGAAGAACTGCACCGCTTCTAAGAAGGCTTGGGCTTCCCAGGTCGTCTGCTTCGTGTAATCTAAAGGAGCAAGGCAAGGGCACTGAGCAAAGGCCAGCACTTGGGGTTACCAGGCTCTCCGAATGCTCGGAGACTACACAGGATCGGAACAAGACAAGCGACAGAATTAGGAGATGTACCCAATTCTACCTTACAAATCCGGCTAGACCAGAGGATGGACACTGATACAGATAAGAACTGGAAACACAGGGAATCCATGGCGGATAGTCCCTTCAGGACCAGTGCTGATAGTGGCGATACCGGGAGAGTGGGGTAGAAAGGGGGAACCGATTACAAGGATCTACATATAACCTCCTTCCTGGGGGATGGACAACAGAAAAGTGAATGAAGGGAGACGTCGCACAGTGTAAGAAATGAAAAAATAATAATAATTTATAAATTTTCAAGGGCTCATGAGGGAGGGGGGGACAGGGAGGGAGTGGGAAATGAGGAGCTGATACCAAGGGCTCAAGTAGAAAGCAAATATTTTGATCGGATGCTAACAGTGGCTATTTGGGGGGGGCTGTTTATCACATTACTTGCTCACACACTCTCCTGTAGCTAGTGAGATATTCGGCTCCCTGGTTAGGAGGAGAAACAAGTGCCTACATTGTCTCTTTCTTATCAATGCTTCCTTCCATTGACACACGAGTGAAGGCACTGTCCAGTAATGAAACCTGGTTCTCCAACCGTTTAACCACAATGTCCCACTCTGAAGGGTAAGGGAACCCTGGTGGCATAGTGGTTACAAACTGATTGCTAACTGCAAGGTCAGCAGTTCAAAACCACCAGCTGCTTTGAGGGAAGACGAAGCTTTCTACTCCTGTAAAAAATTATAGTCTTAGACCTGGAACTATTTATGGGCTTGGGCTTTTGGGTGTGTTGTTGTTGGGGTTTTTTTTCTCTTTCTTCTTTCCTTTTCTTTTTCTCATGTCTGTCCATACAGGATAGGTAGGATAACCGATCCCGAGGAGAAAACAACGGGGCCAACAGCTCTAGGGGACATGGGAGAGGAGAAGGTGGGAGAAAGGGTAGGGAGAGCCAACAAACTCAGAGACAAGGGAATAATAAGAGATCTAAGATCGATAGCGAGGGGATCATAGAATGCTGGTGGGGTCTGATCAAATGCAATGTAACCAAGAGAAAGTATTGAGAGGTAAATGAAGGTCAAATATGATAGAGGGACAGGAGGAAAGTAAAAAGAAATAAGAGGAAAGAACTAGGTGGCAAAAGACATTTAGAGAGATATAAATATAGGTATGAACAAATGTAAACATATAAATATATTAATAGGGATATGGGTCTATGTACATATATTTAAATATTAAGTATTAAGGTAGCAAATGGGCATTGGGTCTCTACTAAAGTACTCCCTCAATGCAAGAACACTTTGTTTTAATAACCTAACCTGGCATTCTGCGATGCTCACCTTCCTGACATGATTGCTGAAGTCAAAATGAATGTATAAACAAATGTAGTAAAGAAAGCTGATGGTGTCCGGGTATTAAAAGATATAGCATCTGGGGTCTTAAAGGCTTGAAGTGAAACAAGTGGTCATCTAGCAGAGAAGAAACAAGCCCACATGGAAGAAACACACCAGCCTGTGTGATCATGAGGTGTCAACGGGATCAGGTATCGGTCATCAGAAGAGCCCAAACAAACAAATATATTGATGCAAATGATGGGGGTTGGAGAGGAGACACAAAGCACATCTGTACATAATTGGACATCCCCTTGTAGAAGGGTCACAAGGAAGGAAGGACTCAGCCAGGGTGCAGCGTGGCACCAACAGAACACACATTCTCCTAGTTCTTCAATGATCCCCCGCCCGCTATCATGACCCCAATTCTACCTTACAAATCCAGTTAGACTGGGGGAGCATGTACACTGGTACAGATAAGATCTCTCGACACATGGGATCCATGACAGATAAACCCCCAGGAACATTAATGGGAGCAGTGATGCCATGAAGGTGGGGGAAGTTGGGAGGAGAAGGGGGAGAAATGGGGAACCAATTACAATGATGAATAATTCCCCCCCCCACCTCTCCAAGGGGACAAACAATAATAACGTGGATGAGGGGCGACAGAGGGCAGTGTAAGATATGAAAATAATAATAATTTATAATTTGTCAGGTGCCCATAGGGGTTATTCAGGAGGGTGGGGGAGGGAAAGCGAGGAGCTGATACCAAGGGCTCAAACAGAAAGAAAACATTTTGAAAATGATGAAGGCAACATGTGTACGAATGTGCTTGATACAATTGATGTATGGATTGTTATAATAAGAGCTGCAAGAGACCCCAATAAAATGATTTATTTATAATTTAACAAAAAAAGAATTTCAGTCTTAGAAACTCGCTAGTTCTATACTGTGCTATAGGGTCAGTATGAGTCAGAAGTGACTTGGTGACAGTAAATTAGTTCAAAACAATTTTAATGAAGGGTAATAACTAGTTAATAGGATGTGGATGACCATTGTAGGACATGTCTACTGGGCCGTATGTAAGCAGTAGGGGCTTGGGAAAGAGTATGATTCAAGGTATGGCCTATACAACCCTTCAAACAAAAACATTCACAGTAAGGATACCAGGACACCCAAAGGTTCTATCTTCAACAGTAACTGACATTTCTAATATCAATTTAGAGATTTAGTCAGAGGCAAAATTTTAGTCAGAAAACAGGCATTCATGGTTCGAAAATTAAGTCTTTACACTGAACTAGTCTTCTTTATTTTTCCTGGCTTGGCAACTGATTCAGTGCTCAATCATAGAGGTTTAGAAAACAAAAATTAAGCCTGTGGTACAGAGTTGACCCCGTTCCCCTTGCAGAGGGCTGTGAGATGGGGCTCAGCACAATGGGAGGGACTTTACCAACTGAGATGGAAACTGTAATTACTATGCTGTGACTCAAGACTGACTCATGCGTTCTTATTTTTAACAGCTGTGTTCCTCTCTAAATTACGGAAAAAGAATGAGACGCCGTACTTGGATGAAAGGAAAATGGGCAGAACCACGATGCTGGGAATGAAGCTTTATATTCTTCAGGTCTTACAGCATAAATGTACGTATGTCTTCCCCCGCTGACCTCAGTAACGAGAGGAGGTACTTGAAATCTTGTACCTCCATAGCTTCCATTTAAAACAAAACAACTAAGGAAATGGGATTTAGAGACAATGATCAGGGAGTAAGAGATCACTAAAAGACAGGACGGTGGTGGAGGCGAGGCCCTTTAATGTTGGCAGAAGAGAGCACTCACTATTCGTAAACAAAGGAGATTCCAGAGACTGAACACTAGCAAGGAAGCACAGAGCATGTGGAAATGGACTTAACCATTACTCATGACCATGAAGGCAGATTTAAATGAGAGTTTTAACTCCTCCCTCCCAATGGGGAGATGATGTCCCTCACAGACCCAACCCTAGATTTTCACTTACTGGGTGTCAAATGATGACATAATTTCACTTACATAAAACTTGTAGAGGATCTGCCACATGGTAAGTTTCTATTTGTCCTGGTGATTATAAGCAAAACTCAACAGCAATGGCTAGATCATTAAGAATATAAAAACCAAAGATTTGCTTGTACACGATAAAATCATACAGCCACGGTCATTCGATCTGCACTTCTCCTGTGTTGTTTGGTGACTCGTTGCTGAGCTGTCAGACACACAGGTGTTTAAAAGGAACCAGAGTGCCATTTGATCAGCTTCCTGCCACAGATCTCATGGGAAAGACCTTCCAGGTTCACAATCACCCTCTCGCCTGCCAACAAGAAAACTCAGAAGTTAGTTGGGTCCCTGGTCTTTGGTCTTCCAGCTGTTTCCTCCCAAGGCAGGCTTAGAAACAAGGGCTGGCCTTCTGAGGATGCTTAAGGACACCCAGCTGAGCAGCAACTTAGACACCATTAGTTTTTTGGGTGTGGAAACTGGCACCAGACATGGATAGTTTCCTAGTGAAGGTCACACAGCTGGTCAAGGTCAGTGCCTAGAGCAGAAAAAACGAGGTCTGGCATGTCAAAAGTGCCCTTGGCATTGGTGCTTACTGAAATCACAGGCACGGGTGCTGGAAGTACTCTGTAAGGGCTCGCACCCCCAGCTCTCATCCAGCATTCGGGGGTCTTCACAATCCCGGACAGACACCCCCCTGGCCTCAGCTTGAACATATCGAGTGACAGGAAGCTCACAAGTTAATGAAATCGCCCTTTCCCTCATCGATCTGCACTAATTATTGGGAAAAAATGTTCCTTCTACTGAGCCAAAAGCTGTTTCCACGAATTCCCTTGCTCATGCACACTCATTAATCCCATTTCTGACAGAGAGCAAAGTAGACAAGTTTCTCCTCTACCAAGCCAGCAATCATGTCCCCAAGGGTTTTTTTCTCTTTTCTAAATGAAATATCCTTATTTCCTCCAGCCATTCTTTAACAATGTATCTTGTGTTTCTGTTTTGATTCGGGCCACCATTTCCCTTCCTTCCTCCCTCCCGCCAGTGATCAATTCCAGTTTATCAAAATCATTCTTAAAATTGGGTTCCCAGCACCTAGTGAAATACACCAAGTCTGCTCTGGCGAGTGAACGGTTCTGATTCCTAAGCTTTCTGAACCTCATACTGCTGACTTAAGTCTTTCATAAAGCCTCATGTCTCCTCCCTCCCCCAACCCCCGCCTAAAACTCTTGTCAATTGGGAGTTTTTTCTAACATTTATCTCTTCTTTTGGTCTTGAAATCAGGTATAAACATTATCCCAATTAAGCGACAATTTACCATGCTTGGCCCAGTGTCCCCGAACCTGACAAAACCACTTACACACTGTAATTCTGTCCCTGACCTCCCATTCACCTCAGAATCATCCAAAAATCTGGTGAGCTAGCCATCTACTGTGTGTCCATCCACCACACTGATGAAAGACCGGATGGAGAGCCAAGAGAGAGTCCTCCGGAGCTAAGCATTGTGGGAAAGAAGCAGGAGACACAGCTTGGCTGTCCTTTCAACAGTCAATTCCCAGGACCAAGAAGTCTTTAGAAAT